GCCACTGAAAGGAGCCTTTGCTCCTGCACTCGACTCGCAATTTGGAAATAAATTGACTGATTTAGACAGAGGCAGAGGAGAGTGAAGGAGGGGGTGATAGAGAAAGAGAGAGAGAGAGAGAGAGAGAGAGAGAAAGAAAAGGGGGCCTGATGTAAACCTGCTCCAGCACCACTGAGTAAGGTGACATTGCACAACAAATCACTCGCATGAATATAGAGAAAGCAAACGATTGCTATTTCTGAAAGCAATTTTGTTTGCCGAAGGTGTGTTGATTGCCATGTATGTGAATCCATTGCTGGCGGAGACACGGAGGGGCGCCAACATTTCATAAGAGTCAATGCCATATTTTGCCGTTAGCATAACAATAAGAGGACCTAGACTGTCATAAAAGAAAGTAACAAAAAAAACCACTATTTTTTGGAGGTTGTATGTCTGTACAGTGCCTGATGGAGCAGAAAGGGCCTGACTTTTGCTGCAGTGAGTCCACTGTGTTTTAATAGAGCTTAATGAAGAATAATTAAGTAATTAAAGCATTGATAAGAGACAGGCTCTGTAAACAGATAAGGGCCGAACTGAAATAGCAGCACGGTTCTACTGCAGACCGCTCACACGCCGACACTGAGATAGATAGATAAACAATACAGAAATAAGACATTTCATAATAGGTTTTAATAAGTGCAAGATTAGTGGTCATTAAAGCGCTTTAGGAACCAATGAGTTGTCAGTCAGCATTTGAAGACAGCTGACCAAGTCCAGCCATAACATGGATTTTTATGTATTTAAACAGGTTCAATAGAAAGTGCTTTTAATCATGTTCTCTTTTCTTTTTTTACATTTTTCAGTTGCTGAATTGTGTAATAGAATTACATCTATATTATTTACTCTCACTCTTGGTGTCTGTAATATAGCACCATTCAAACAATATGAACCTCACAGTGAGAAAACAATGAGAAATTCATTTTTTTGGAAGTTTGATATTATAGATGATATGTAAATATAATATATTTCAATTTCCTTCAATTCTGCTGTTCGCTCTTCTATTAAATTTGCGACCTCTGACACTCTCTTTTCATGAATCACCTTTATTTGATGAACATATTTTTGTGTAAGTTGGAAAGTTGTCTAGATCTGAGTTAATTTTTAATTAATTTGCATTAATTTGCCACACTTTTCAGTGACTGCTACAACTAGTCCCTCAGTCTGTTACAACTAACATTACCTATGTTGTAACATCTGCACTCCAGCCGCTTCTGGCTGAACCTTTCATAAATGGTACATGCTGTAAACAATGTAAACAAGTTTACATTCTCTTTTGTCGCAGAGATGTGTCGGTAGTTTGTATAAAAATGTTATTCATGTTGTTCGAGTACTGTACAAATTGCTTAGCAAAAAAACCAAAATGAGCTTGTTGACATCTTGCATTGAAATGTGTTTTGCATCAGGATCATATCTGGATAAACTCCGCCCAGATTCTGTTTACACTTTTCACTAAAATGCGTCCCCGGTGTGGCCAGATGAGGTCTGATTTAACTTTCCCCGCATAAGAAACACATCAACACGTACGTAGTTTCTGTTTTTTTCCTTGTTATGATACGAGTTGACAAGCTTGGCTTGGACATGTTCAAGGCCCAAGAAAGCAAGAAATCTCTTGGTTTGGGGAACTCCAGCTTCACGGATTCCCCATCTGTTGTTTCCTTGTTTATTCTTTCACCTACTAGTCAGCACTCAGCAAACACCCTTCCGCTCACATTATTGTGAAATCAAATGTGAAATAAATTTATTGTGAAATTAAATATGGAAATCAGAAACACATTCTGTTTACATTTGTGTTAAATGTGGTCAAGATCCATCTCTGACCATCTCCAACAGTGGTTTGAGTGATCTGATCGTAATGTGATCATAATCTATCCCGGGCGTGTTTACACCTGACTTTTCATGCAATCAGCTGAAACCGGATCGTCAAAAACGCAGGTTGATGCAGGGTGTAAACAGGCCTAATGTGTTGCACCTCACTTTCCTCTGCCTGAAGCTCAAAGGGCTCTGGGTATTGTACAAGTTTTGACCGCTGCCTTCAGGAAAGGAGCAGCTGGTCCATTTTTTGTTTTGAAGTAAGTCCTCAGTGTTTTAAATCTGATGCAGGCAGCTACAGGAAGCTAGTGAAGGAAACTCAGCAGCAAAGAGACGGGCGAATTGAGGAAGACTGGATCTGCTGCATTCTGGATCAGCTGCAAAGGCCTGATAGCCAACATAAGAAGATCAGCTTGTATTAGTCAAGCCTTAAGATGACAAGAGACTGAACAAGCACCTGGGAGGCCTCCCAGTAGAGCAGTGGTCACCAACTCTCCTCCTGGAGATCAACTTCCCAGCAGAGTTTAGCTCCAACCTGTATCCAATAAGCTGCCCTGCCTCTTACCTAACACTAATACATCTGATCCAGCCAATCAGGGACTTGGTAAGAGGTTGAATTGCTGGAGCTGATGTGGCAAATTGTGGTTGGAACCAAGCTCTGCAGGAAGGTAGATCTCTGGGACCAGGGTGGGAGATATCAGATGCTGAAGAGGGTTGGGTTAGGTCTGTATCATTAGCAGAGAACAGTAACTGGTCATCCGCAATTACACCAAAGCTTTGTGCCTCTTAAGATGACCAAAAAAATGATCAAGGACATATCAAAAGAGATCAAGCAAGATCACAGCATGACTTGTTGTTCCAGGTATATATAGCAGCTCGGTCTTGCTGGGATTCGGTTTAAGGTGGTCTTCTGCCATCCATGATGAGATGTCAACCAGATATGATGACAAACCTGAGTGCCAGAAGGTGGGAAGGAAAGGATTAGCTGAGTGTCATCAGCATTGCAGTGGTGATAGAGACCAAGAGAGGACATTACATCCTCAAGAGAGTGAGTGTAAAGAGAGAAGAGAAATGGACCGAACACGGAGCCTTGTGGGACACCCACAATCACACTCCATAGCATCTCAAAATTAAGCCACATTACCGACACACAATACACACAAACACACAGACCTGCTGCATCTAGGCCAGGGGAGCAGTTTACTTTCCCAATCAGCAGGCTAGTTTCCATATGACAACGTTAAACCCTTTTTCCATATGGCCGTGAAGCATACATGTGGTCAACGTCAAAATGTAATACTTCCCTGCTGGATTTTCCTGTCTTCTACACACACAATGTGCTATTTTCGCCATTCCCCATTAGCAAGGTTTATTTTTTAAGCAAAGACATGATGTGTGCTTATAAGTTTCCATGAGAACCAAGAAGAGCTTATTTTAACAACGCTGCAATTACCCCGAATATGGAAATAGCAGTTCAACCAATTCACAGTCGAGCTGGCTAGAATAATAGGAAAATAAAACCTGAAATTGGGGTAGGGGTGACAGTTATAAAATTATATTTTCTCATCTTCAAAGCAGAAGAGAGAAAGAAACTTGAGGGCCTGAATAAAAATAAATGAAATCCTTAATACCCCCATATTTGAAAGTGCTTAAGAACTTCCACTTTGAAAAATGAGTGTGATGCCAAAAAAAAAGAAGAAAAGCAAACTATCACTAGCTGCAGTGTGACACATCTGTAGGTCTAGTATAATCTCCACTAAAATGATGCTGGTCTGGCCTGATAATCAATCCATAAGCCATTTCTCTGGTGAGGGTGCTCAAACGCAGAGTTGTTTCCAAGGATTAAGAGATTATAATTGGGTACATGGCCAATACAGTGTTTGGTGCCAGTGTTTTCTGCATTATTTTAACACACAGACTGCAGAGGGTGATGTGTGCGGCTGGGTTAACGTGTAATTGCAGACCTCAATGGAATTTAGCCATTTATGTCGTACATTTTAAAAATGCAAACAGTCAGGGAGGGAACGGCACTTCTTTTTTTAACTGCTCTTATTTTCAAAGCGCAAACAAAATGAGCTAATCTTAAAGCCAAAATGAAAAGCAGCAGCAGTACACAGTAGCCTGACTGCATTTCACAGAGAACTTTATGGAGCTCATTTTATTCTGCATTCGGATGCCCATGGGCAACTATTCATATTGGGAACGGCGTATTGTCAGGAATTAATCAGGGGGGCTTCATTTTTTATAACCCCATATACTGTATGTGCCTGTATGGATGACTTTGTGTATGTGTTTCCTTTCCAGGCAGGTGTGTTATAGTGTGTGTTATTGTGTTAGTAATACTGTGTCAGTGATTTGACAATCAGTGTCAGATTTCTGAACAGAACCGTCATGAACGTCTCTTATATATTTACCTCTTACAGCCATTATTGAACAGAATGTTTCAGCTTTGCATTACAGTTGTGGAGGAGAATGAAAGCAGGAGTACAGTGGGCTGCATATAAGCAGGTTCATCATGGGCCTTGAGCTTGATGATTACTCGAGTGCTGCAATATCAATGACAACACTGCCATCTCCTGGACAAAGAGTGTCTCTCCAGCTATTAATACCACTACAGCAGCAGCAACAACAACAACAACAACAACAACAACAACATAGTGGTAGTAATAATTTAGAAAATAGGGATAGATAGATAGATAGATAGATAGATAGATAGATAGATAGATAGATAGATAGATAGATAGATAGATAGATAGACAGACAGACTGTGTACTTACTCTGTACTTAAATATCAGTTATTTGATGGTAACTACAAATATTGTGTTGCCTTAAGGACAGGTTTGGAAATTATAAACTATTATTATTATTATTATTATTATTATTATTTATAACAATATTATTACTGTTACTAAGATGAAGATCATCCACAACAACAACAACAACAACAACAACAATAATAATAATAACAATAACTTTAAATCTTTGCATAAAAATCAGCAGCGCTAGTAGCGGCTGATGGATTACAGTGTAGGTCATTTCCGGCTGTAAAATGCCAGGATGAGGAGCTGTTCCGCTGTGTGTGTGTGTGTGGGGTGTACACTGCTGTGAGTGAGTGAGCGAGAGAGAGACTCAATCTCCACACTCACTCCATCGCCTCATGCTTTACAGAAATGTCGGTTTCAACCTTTCAGAAGATCACTTTCATCTCCTGCCTCGTCCTCTGCGTCTCTCTATTTCTACCCAAAATATTTCTGTCTAGAGGGAAGAAAGATGTCGTTCAGTCAGAGGGTAAGAAAAACTGCAGCAGCTCCCCCCTCAGATTCCCTCTCAGTGAAGTCAGTCCTCTCCACTCCTCGCCTCGCCTCCTTCCTCTCCCTGCAGCAGTGACAGTCCCTGTGCGTCCTGTGTGTTCCTGTTGTGCTGCTTCGTGATGTAAACTGAAACTCCTTCATTGTCCCACTTTCAAAATAAAGGTGTGTGAAGTTAATCAGCTGCCTGTTTATCACTCATGTCAGTTCTGTGATACAGACTGCGTAACATAGTCTATTTATATTATTCATTATTTTACACTTTATTTATTAAGACTAGGATATTATTTACAATGAACATATTATTCACATTAATATTTCTGTCTTCATTTTGCAATAAAACGTAAGATTAAGTAACTATTCAGAACCCACAGTTCCTGTTGACCTGTAATAAAAGAAGTAGTGGGCAGATTTTACCCCGGCCTACATATCAGAGTAAAGGATGCATTGTGAAAGAGCTTACATAACGTCTATGCAATTTTATCTCCCCAGATTATCGGCAAAAAGGCTGAAGGCATTCATGCTTTTAATGGAATGTTTTACCTGTTATGAGTTTAGACTTTCACACACACACATAACTCGGGGTGGTTTTGTTGATAGTTGGTCCTGGACACGTTCCTCCCTTGAGATACAGCCAGCCATTCTCAGAAGATCATGATCAGTGGCAGTTGGAACCACTCTATACCAAACCGTTCAATCCTGAGGCCATTTCCAGAACCAAAGGTGCTGGAAAACCCAACCTCCTCGGCCAGGTCATTCCTGTTTACGGCTTTGGAATCTTCCTCTATATCATCTACATATTCTTCAAGGTAGGAATTCTCTTCAGTACTTGCAGAAATCAGGTTTGTGAGCCATAAGTGTAACAAGATGGTGGAGATGGTGGGGTAGCGTGAGACCAATGATTTAAGGGCTTGAGGGCTGATTTAACAAATGATTTGACAATTATTTCATTTTGACTTTGTTTTCCCCACAGCTTACCTACAAAGACAGATCCCCCAGGCAAGAATGTAGATTCCCCATCCTGATAGCAGAAAGCACAATACAGGACATACGTAAGTTCAACTCTGTTGACATCCTGTTGACTGTAGTTCTGAAATGCTATTATGAAGATAAGCTTAACTGTACTTTGATTCAGTTTGAGCGCGCGTCATCCCTATAGTTCCCCTAGCACTTCTGTTTTGATCTCACCTCTTTGCTGAGCCCCTCCTCCGCTTATCAGTAGCTATACCACATGCAGCCCATGATGAGGTAGATTAAGATCCTGTCACAGGCTTGAGGGGGCTTTGTTCCCCCCTATTGTTCGACCTGGATTAGCAATCACAAGCAGTGTTGTATCAGCCCAGCGGCGTCTAATACCAATTAACTGCATGTCTTTCGGATCAGTACTAAGAGGTTTAGCTCCATTCATCAGATGGATGCCAAAGGGTGAGGGAAGTGAAAGTGACAGAGGAATCAGAAAAGTAGGCTCTATCTATGTATTAAGCAACACACGGTTCACCCTCACCTCCTCTGACGGCAGGAAGCATGAACAATGTCTTATTTTTAGATCTGTCTTCTTCGGCTAATTGGAATTTGTTAATAGTTTAGTCGTTGGCATAAATAGTTATCAAAGCCAAGATCTTAATAATAACTGCAACTTGTGACCCAGAAACAGAACTGAATGAGTAATTAGGTATAATTGGTCACATGAATTAGGCTTGACCTACTTGTTCTTTGCCTTTAACTGAGCTGAAGCTATTGCTGTGGGCTTTTCCCAGCTCAGTGTATACAGACTCTTACACAGTTTGCCTGTTTGCAGTTTTCCTCTGCTAAACCTCATGAATCTAATTTTGGACAGATTTCCTCAGACAGAGGGTGACAGATATGATGTTTGGGTGCTCATATGTCAGTATCGCATGTCTGCATGGACCCTCTAAACCCCTGTGTAATGCTCCTCCAGCTGATTATGAGATGGCTCAGCTACAGGCCAGACTGAGACAGATGGAGGGAGTGAGAGAGAGAAGAGCATCGAAAGCTATCCACCCGCCTGCCAGGTAAACGACCCACATTTCTCCCTCTTCACATCGCCTCTCACCTCACTGATCAAAGAGCTGACAGAGTAATGGCTCCGTCCCCACGGCCATCCCTCTGGAATTCGTTCAAAAGAAAAATGAAAAGGGCAAATTCCATGATGGGCCGCAGCTTCTCTGGGTCTGCCTCAGCTTGTGTCTACTGGATTGTGTTTGTGGTGCCAAAAACCACAAAAAGGTCTTTAGTTTTGAGGGCATTCGCCAGATCACCATGGCTAAGCTCAGCAGATGTTTGTAGAAAGTGAATTTATTAGTGAACAGATGTAAACAGTAGCGTTTACTATTGTAAACACTATTTCACTGTCACTAGTTTCACCTTTATGATCCTGCTCACTTCTGTGTCATGCAATAGTGGAAAATGCCTTGAGTATTCAGACATTTGAGAAAGACAAGAGAAATTCCTCTAAGATCCTTCGACATGTCTGTTGATTAACCCCTTAAATGACCAGGACCCCCTGGAAGGCCTGGCACACCTCTGTAACCTAACCTAAAGAATAGCTCAGCCAGTTTGAATGGAAGACCCTGTTTTTACTGAATAATAAGCCTCAGTATGTAAGTATGTAGTATGTACAACCCCATTTCCCAAAAAATTGGGACGATGTGAAAAATGTAAATTAAAACAAAATATAATGATGTGCAAATATTTTAAACCCTATATTTCGTTGAAAATGCTTCAAAGACAACAAATCAGATGTATATTCCCATTCTGAATTTGATGGCAGCAACACGTTCCAAAAAAGTTGGGACGGGGGAACGAAAGACTGGTAAAGTTGTGTAATGCTTCAAAAAACACCTGGTGGTTAATTGGCAAAAGGTCAGTAACATGACTGGATATAAAAGAGCATCTCAGAGAGGCGGAGTCTTTCAGAAGTAAAGATGAGGAGGGGTTCACCACTCTGTGAAAGAACAATTCAAGAATAACATTTCTCAACATAAAATAGCAAAAAACAACTTGTGGTTTTCATCATCTACGGTACATAATATCATTAAAAGATTCAGAGAATCTGGAGAAATCTCTGTATGTAAGGGACAAGGCCAAAAACCAGTATTTGCTGGCCATGATCTTCGGGCCTGCATTAAAACCTGAAAAAGCCTGAAAAACACTGTCTGTGAAAACAGTTCATCACTGCATCCAGAAATGCTAATTAAAACTCGCAAAGGAGAAACCAAACAAAACAGGATCCAGAAACACTACCACCTTCTCTGGGCCCAAGCTCATTTTAAATGGACTGAGGGGAAGTGGAAAAGTCTCCTGTGGTCCGATGAATCAACATTTGAAATTCTTTTTGGAAATCATGGACACTGTGTCCTCCGGGCTAAAGACCACTCAGCTTGTTATCAGTGCACAGTTCAAAAGCCAGTATTCATGATGGTATAGGGGGGCATTAGTGCACATGGCATGGGTGACGTGCACATCTGTGAGGGCACCATTAATGCTGAACGATATATACATGTTTTGGCAACATATGCTGCCATCCAGACAACGTCTTTTTCAGGGAAGGCCTTGATTATTTCAGCAATGTAAAACCACATTCTGCATGTATTACAGCAGCATTGCTCCGTATTAAAAGAGTCCGGGTGCTAAACTGACCTGCCTGCAGTCCAGACCTGTCACCTCTGAGAACATTTGGCATATTATAAAATGAAAAATATAACAAAGGAGACCGCGAACTGATGAGCAGAGAAATACTATATTAAACAAGAACAGGAAAACATTTCACTTTCAAATCTACAGCAGTGTCTCCTCAGCTCCCAAACACTTACAGAGTGTCGTTAAAAGAAGAGGTGAATGAAATTGTCATGAAATTCAAAATTGGCATATATTTTACAAAAAAACAGTAAAATTTCTCAATTTTAACATTTAATTTGTTGCCTTTGTACTATTTTCAATGAAATTCGCATATCATTGCATTTTGTTTTTATTTACATTTTGCACAGCATCCCAACTTTTTTGGAAATGGGGTTGTAGTACGTTGTATTAGAACTATTAGCCTACTGTGTTTGCACACAGAGGAATTAGACATCTGTATTTAACCCATCTGTGCAGTGAAACACCCACATATATGCACACTAGAGAACACACACACACCAGGGGGCAGTGAACACACTTGCCCGGAGCGGTGGTCAGCCCTATCATTATCAAGACCTGCTCTGGACTTCCTATTTTATCTACTACCACTTAGTGAATATACCTACAAAATAAAGCAGAAACGTGAACACATGCCTAGCTCCACTGTTAGCTTTAGTGTAAGCTCATCTGATGAAGTAGCTTCTATCACTAAAACCTCCTTCTTATTAGATACACATGTAAATATGTGGTTCCTTAAGGGTTCTTTAGTAAAGAAAATGGTTCCATATAGAATCAGGAACACTCAAAAAAAAACTTCTGCATGATTAAAGTGTTCTTTGCATTGTGAAATGGTTCTTCAGATTGATATAAAATATGCCTTTGAAATGGGTCCTATAATAACACCAAAAAGGGTTCTTCTAGTGTCACAAGCTTGACATCACAACAATAGAAGAGCCCTTTTTGGTGCCGTATAGAACCGTTTTGAGAGAGGTTCTATATACACGACACATCCTTGATCAATCCTGAAAAGCTTGTAAACCAGTTCATTTCCAAAGAAAATGGTTCAAATCAATTTACATCCTCTGTGTGATTCTTCATTTTTCTTTGTACTACTAAACCTTTCGGCCTGTTAGTACCAGTGTTACATGTGCTACCAGGTAGCCCTGTGCTGAAAGTTGGACAGGTAGTTCCTCAGAATTTTGCAAACGGTCAAAGGCTATTCGTCCAGTCTTTTTCCAAGAGACTCTCTAACAGTCTTTGACAGACTTCTATCATTAGTCATTATCTCGTGAATCTTCCCTCCGTCTGGGCCGACTGCCTCTGTGTAATCTCATTTCTCTGTTTAATCATATTTGGTTTATATTTCTCATTTGTTTATTGCAATTCTGCTATCCAGTAGCGCCCAGAGGAGAATAGCTTTCCCTTTGGGACATCTGATCTTAGAGCACTATATAAACAAAATTAAATATAATTGAATAATACAATTGATTGTGCATCGTTTTATCTCCTTTTGTGTGTTCTGGCCACAGGTCTCGGAGGAGCAGCCGCAGACAGGAGGAGAGGAAACTCCGGCAACTGAGGCAGATCACACGAGTGATGCTGGAGGGGCGTCCTCTAGAGGGCGTCTCCCCTGAGGTGGAAGCTGAGGAAACCCCCTATTCCGCAGACTGGGAGGGTAAACCTCATACTAACACTGCTTTTGTTTAAATGTGCACTATGTATGATTTTGAAAGTAGCGTTACTGAGTCAGGAGAAAAAAAACAGAAATATGGTGAGCGTTCGCTGCTGCAAGTCGCCCCGTAAAACCTGAAATGATCCTTTAAAGGTCAGAAGTCTGGGGCTGGATTTGTCAGTGTTTTTTGGCGTCACATGTACAGGCTCAAAAAAGAAGGTCCAACTTTTGGTTTAGGTCTCAAATACAAAATCAATATTATTTTGATGAAGATATGATGACAACTGTAGATACTTCACTTACATCCTTGAAAGACGTCAAGTTTTGACCGAAATCTCTTTATCTTTCAATAAACTCAATCGTCAGATTCATCAACTAAGGGAGGGTCCAAAGCACACCCGACATTACAAAATGTTCCTCTGCACATGCAGTTACACACGTCCACCAGAGAGGTCTCCAAATCCCAAAATCTTACATAGTGCTTTAAGGCACATACAGTGTGTCCCAATTCAGGGGCTGGATCCTTCGAAGGACACGGTTTATGAAGGTGTGCCCTTCAAAGGCTGCGTAGACCCACGAAGGCTGAGCCAAAATGAGACAGTCTGCTCTACGGCAGATTTCCTGTTTGTGTCACAGCACCGCTGTTCCCATCCTTACCGGAGCGTCACGAAATGCCGCTCCTGTCAAGTTCTTTTAAAGTTCTTTAAAGATGAAGACAGAAACTTTGATTTGATTTTTATTTTTTCATTTATTAGAGCTGGAGATGCTTCTCTCTGTCGGCTCCTTGCTCCCTAAAACAAAACGAAACATTAGCGTAAGTTTTGCTTCAGACCACATTTATTGGCTTTTTTTTAATATCTGTCTCGTCAGCTATTCGAATCAGTTAAAACCTGATACAGTCATTATAACTGAACTCCTCAGCCGCCGTTTGCTCCTCTCCTGACGACACCATGCTCATGAATCTTCGCCGGCATGTAATGAACCTCGGGATAGGTTGGCTGGCTGGCTGGGTGGATCCTTCGTTGACATGGAAATGAAGGACACATTTCTCGGCCACATATGAAGTAGTCCTCGAAATGGGTCTAGTCACACTGCTGTGACACAATCAGCCTCCAAATGCAGCCTCCGAAGGACGCAGCACTGAATTGGGACGTAGCTTTAGTGCTTTTAGCTGCTTAATCTTCCTGAAATGTGTGCATGATTTCGTCCGTTGTCTCCACAGGCTACTCCGAAGAGACCTTTCCCAAGTACGAAGTGGCATTTCGCGGACGGCGCTATCCAAGCGTCATACTTGAGGAGCCTGATATGGACATACCTACTGCTGAGCAAATCGCAGAGAGAATGGGGAGTGAAGAAGAGGAAGATGATGATGATGATGATGATGATGACGACGATGCAGACGATTATGATGAACAAGAGGAAGAGGTCAAGGATGAGACAGATGAAGACAAGGTAGACGCTGCTGAGAACAATCCTACAGAGTGGAAAGAAGAAGGGCCAACCAAACAGGAAGAAGATGAGGAAAGTGAAGAAGAAGAAGATGATGAAGAAGAAGAAGAGGAACAAGACATAACTGAAGAAGTACATGAAGCAGAGCTAATAAAAGAAGATGATGATGAAGATGAAGATGATACCCATCAAAAAGATCAAGAACAGGACGAGGAAGAGGAAGAGGAGGAGGAAGAAGTGGGAGAAGATCAGCCTTGTCTACCTCATGATACAGATGATGAAGATCAAGGACCAAAATCAAAAGGAGCAAGGAAGCACAGAGAGACACCCAGCAGCAGAAGACAAATAACGTTCAGTGAACACAGACACGTCTTCCGCTACCCGAAAGGAGACACTGTTGGCTGCACGTATGAGGATGAGGATGAGGAAGAAACCCACGAAGAAGACAATGGGGAAGATGATGATGATGATGACGACGATGATGATGATATGGAGGATGAGGATAAGCAAGATGAAGTTCAAAAGAAGGTGGTGGAGAGGGAAGAGGAAGACCCGCTGATGGAGGCCGAGAGGCTGGGCTTCCACACTGAGGTGGAGTGTGATCCGGAAGAACAGGAAGTCAACTTCCTCGATTTCCTCCTCACGTACCAACCAGAAGCCACCGTTAGCTCTAACCAACCAGTGACCCCCCGAACTCCAGCTTCTGGGACCCTGAGGATGCGCCACAAGAAACCCAAAAAGAAAAACTGACCCATCCGTCAAGAGACCGACAGTGCAATTAATGTCCTATTTGTGATGAATATCTACAGGGTCTAAAAAGCTCCCGGATCCTTGGAGGCATTTTCTTTAGATCAGCTTCTTTTAAAAGCTGTAATTTCTTTTTGGATACCTCAGGAGTTCTCAGCTTACTCATAAACCATTTTACAGGAAGATTCACTCGAAAGAGGCCCTGAATGTCCTGTTGTAACTCCCGTTAGGATGAAACAGTCTGAACCCAAAAAATACGCTATATACCTTGACATGTGTGTAATCGATTGCATTACATGCGATGCTGGAAGTGATCTCCATTTTCTGCCAGACACATGAAGGGGTACGAGGGGTCTGCACCCGGAAGTTGCGAGTGGAGGTTAAACGTCGCGACGGCTGTCCAGCGCCTACCTCATTGCTCCGGCGCAGGGGCATCCCAGCTTGTTCGAAGCTCCATATACTGAGGAGCAGATTGCACATTGTTTGGTTCAGATTGCTTCGTCCTAGAGAGAGTTATTACAGAATATTCGGGGCCTCTTTCGAGTGAATCTCCCTGCTTACAAAAATATATGAAAATTAAAACAAAAAAGTAAAGGTTTAAACAGCCAGTGAGATTCAGGTTATAAGCTGTAACTTTTGTGATAGAAATTGTGTGTCAGGGTCACTGCTGTCCTCTGAATGATTGTACATTTTGGGCATTTTTCCTCTGCACAAAGTACCGTAACATTCATCACCAGAACACTGGAAGTGGCTTTTTCCATCAGTTCCAGTTGTATGTTTTTTGGTACAGTGTGAGAGAAAAGGTACTAAACTGTCACTGTGGCAGGTCCCCTTATGTCACTGGGGTGGTCAGGGAACATAACTGAAGCATGATCCATTTCTGTTATGTTTTATATTGTGTTGACTCCACACACCCCGTCTCATTTCCAGGCTTTTTATTTGATGGTTCTGTTTTAAAACGTTGGATTATGGATATTTGTACCTTTTACCTGGGAAAAAAAAACATATTAAGGTGCACAATTATACCTTAAAACCATTGTTGTACCATTGAGCATACATTGTATGTATTCAGTGTACCTTGATGAACACGTACAAAAACGTACCTGCACAGAACCTTTTTCTGACAGTGTACCTGCTCAAAAGTGGAACCAACGGGACCCAATGGAACTCGAGAGTGCTCTCTTCTGACTTTGGTATCACTTGAAGCCAACTACAATGTTGCAAAGACCAGCAAAAGCTTGGACCAGGCAAAAACCGGTGAACCACCTGGTTAAGCTTAACTTGGTTACGCTTTTGTTTGAGTTTGATAGTTTAGCAAATTTACCAGCTTTACCAACTTGACCAAGCTGTTCATCCAGCATGATCAGTTTGGCCAAACCCACCATGCTTGGTCATGCTGGTCTTGCTGGTTGACCAGACTTACTATCCAAGCTTTTTTTTAGCAGCAAGCACGGTTACATGACCAACAAGTGCACGAGAATGTAAACTAGACAAGTGTATTGATTTTGTTATTAGCATTTATTTATTTAGCATTTACTCCATAAATGTTTCTGGTCTTCACACTCGGTGTGGACAAATATAAGCTTTGCTTGTTTCTACACACGACTCTGAGGGATTATAAGTGTAGAAAAGCGCACTTTCATGTCAGCACATGAAACGAGTAGTGTTAAGCAAGATAGCTAATTAGCCAAACGCTTTAGATTTGTGCTCATAAATGATTAAAAATTAATCACAATTATCACACTTGTTGTGGTGGGTCCAGCTGTCGCTTTCAACCAGCTAGAAGTAGACCTGTTCTTGGTTCCTGCTGGTCAGCTCCCATTTTTGAGCGTGCAGTAGAAAAACGCCCCCTAAGCCGAGATTGACAGTCATTTCTCAAGTGCTGTTATTTACTGTATGAACCATAGTTCACTGTAATCAAACAGGCATACATATTTAAGGCAGAGCAATTTCCTTAAGTTTACGTTTATTTTTTTCATAATGAGAGAACTGTATACAAACATTGTACATTGACCAGTGTACACATTTTACATTTACAGTGAAACATCACTAAAATACATAAGCGATGGTAAGACTTCAAACAAACCAGCAAAAACGTAAAAACACACATTAGTCTGTTCAGAGCAAACAGAAAACGAATCTGTTAATCACTAAGAGAGCGAATGAATGATCCAATCACACCAGTTAGAAAACAGTCACTTTTTTTTTTAAGAAGAAGTTGCAATAAATATTGTCACAGATTTCTTTGCAAGTTGCCTTTGAACTGGCTGTATTTTCATATTCTGTTTTTAAAAAAATTATCTTACAAAATATTTCGAATATATTTGGGGAAAAGATTTTGGAGTGGAACATGTAAAGCAAAAAAATAATATGACTGAATTATTGTTGAAAAATATACAGAATATATATATATATACATATTACAATGACCCAGGTGCCTGCAGTAAACCGTGTGGTGACATGTAAGATGGAAATGTAAGCCGTATACAGCACATGACCTGTACTCAGCAAGAGACTCACAGAGAATGTCAGCATATTTCAGTCATCGCCCAAAACCTGCTTCCTCCTTCTGGAATCGGAATTGTTGGGTAATGGAATGTGGACTGCTGACGATTGAGGGTAACCGAATTCCTCTTTGGTGGTTCCTCGTGTACAAACCCAATTCCAAAAAAGTTGGGACAGTATGTGAAATGTCAATAAAAACAAAGCAATTATTTAAAAAAGTTCTATTTGACCTGTATGAAATAAAAAAACAGCACAAAAACACAAAATTTGATGTTTTACCTTAAGAACTGCAATGTTTTTTGCAAACATATGCTCATATATGCACATTCCAATAAAGTTGGGACAGGAGTTTGTTTACCCCTGAATTGTTGGCCATTCTTCTGTTATATAAGCCTTCTATTACATAAGCTGCACAACTTTACGGGACCTTTGTTGTATTTTGCACTTTATAATGTGCCACATGTTTGTTTTCAACAGGAAACAGGCAGGTCAGCCTGGCACCCGCACTCCCTGATCACGCAGCCATCCTGTTGTAACATGTGCAGAATGTTTCTTGGTGTTGTCATGTTGAAATAAGCTTGGACGTCTCTGAAAAGGACGGCGTCTGAAAGGCAGAATATGTTGCTCCAAAATATCTACATATCTTTCAGCGTTAATGGTGCTTTCACAGATGCACAAGTTACCCACCACCCCTACCCCACACCCTGACAGACGCTGGCTACTGAACTGGCTTGTGCTGATAACTGGATCTGGATGGTCCATTTCTTCTTTGGCCCAGAGAACACATCTATTATTTCCATAAATAATATGAGGTCATACTTTATTTGGATGGTCCGCTATAGATGATCTACAGATACTTAAACTAATAAACTTTCTGGTGGTACTCAGTTGAGTCTAAACAACATCATGGTCAGGGTTAGGTTTAGGAGTAGGTTTAGATTTAGGGTTAGATTCATATAATCTTTCAGACTCAACTTCAAGTTCAACTGCATTTCATTGATATTTAGTTGAATTTTAGTTAAAGACAGACTGAGTAACTACAAAGCATCTACAGTGGACCATCCAAATAAAGTGTCACCTAATATGAAAGGTTGATTCATCCAACCACAGCCCATTTCTCCTGAGCTTAAGCCCAGAAAAGTTTTATTTCTGGACACTGTTGACGTATGACATCTGCTAGGCAGATTTGCATTTGTGGAAACAGCAACGAAGTGTTTACTGACCACAGTTTTTCAAAGTATCCATCACAGGAGCGTGTCTTGTTTTGAATGCAGAATCGAAGGTCACAGGCATTCATATGATTCACTGAATCGTTTGATGATGTTATGCACCCTAGAGAGTGAAACGCTCATTGTGGAGCGCCGTTCTTAAACAATTCGACTATTTCCTGATGCATTTTAGTGCTGACCTGCAACCCATGCTTGCTTATAAAGGTCAAGGCCTTTCCTACACTTCCTTTATACCCAAGTATGATTATATCACCTCTTTTAAAATGTTTTCTGAACATTTAACAGCATTCCTAGTCTTATATTAGTCCTGTCTCAACTTTTCTTGGAATGCATCAATTTCAGAATGAGATTTACATCGTTGACGTTTATAAAAACAATGAAGTTGATAAGATACAGCATTAAACCTCTTTTTTGTACTTTTTTTGCTGAAATTCTGGTCAAAGTGGGTTTTACGAATCACTGCTCTGTTTTTATTCGCGGATTAATAACTGTCCAACTTTTTTTGAATAGGGTTTCTACATAAAGGCCTCATGACTGCTGCTCTGGGACCTTTTTGTTTAACATTAGTTTTACCAAAAAACCTCTCTGAATTCTGTATGTCCATTTGTACCTGGTGAGATTTGGGCAGAGAGCTGGTGTTATGCCAGCAATTAAAGGCAACACGTTTCATGACTTGTGGAGGAAGTTAAGGAACATCTCACTCTTTCAAAAACACAGACCTTGGAGCTTTAGGAGAACTTCAAATTCTGAAAAGCAACAGTACATTGCACAGATGTACACGGCTGTTAACAAGCGCCAAGGACCATCCGTCTCCACTAGCAGGAGAACACAATGGAACCGACTCTCAAACCGTCTTTTTTTTTCCCCCCAAAGGCACAATATTTACAGCTTCCTACCATAAAACTCTGGATAAAGTGCACCATTCAGTACATTCCCCTACCCTACAGTAGTGGGTCAGTATGCTTGAGATGATAATGCACTCTACTAGATGATGCAGAGCATTATGTTTATGTGTAATTAAAAAAAACATTATTTCATTCTCTAAGTGAGATGGAATTGTCAGTTTTGTGCTTGGGGTGCTACAAGCTATATCCAATGGGCACTGAATAAAATTAAAGCAGCATGTGGTATGGTAATCCATAAATAGATAAATAAAAACATAAATACATAAAATTATTCACATTAAAAATCATGGAGCCCTCGTGAAGCATGTATAACTGATACATTACAGGTCTGAAATTAGTCATAAACGTATGGCTCACATACACATGATGCTATGCCAAATGTGACACTGTGTGACATTCAATATCACTTTACAAAATCAGTATAATAAGGAAAACATCAACATATAAATATTGGAAATTAAAGTAAGTACTGGTAGTTACTGTTAGGCTGCTGTGTGGAGTGACTTTAAAATATTGTTAAAAGTGAGGTTGTTAGACTTTGTTAGGAAGGAAGGTTACCGTTGTGAAAAGATTAAAGAAATTCCCAACGAACCTTTAACGTGGAACGTGTTAGTGTTAACGAGCAAGTCGCCGTACTTCAGATTAAGGCAATGGAAAGATGTCATTGCCAATACAAATGCAGGTGTACAACCTCATCGACACAGTAATCTGTTAAAAAGAAGCAACAGTGGTTTAGTCTTTGTGCTTTTTTCCCCCACTGTGGATGGTGTTCCCTTTATTTGGAGAGCAGACAGAACATCGCACATACATACAACACACTGTCTGGGCAGGTCATGAGCTCCCAGAAGGGGATTTGAGACAGGGAGTCACTACAGCCCTTATTGGGTGATTTTGGTTGTCCAGTGGTCTTCGCTGGGTCTTCTACCCGGGCTTCTGAGCGCACAGGCTGGCTGCTACTCACAGGCCAGCTTGCTGTCAAAGCTGGACAGAGCAATAGCAAAGGCCTGCAGAGCACACATGGGATAGTTGAAGTCCATAGTGAAGACGTCCTCAGCCACTCGACCAAACTGCATCACTATGTAATCCGCTAAAGACACAAAAAGAGGAGTTAATGTAGTGCAACGCAAACAGTGCAGTCAGTAGTATTGGTGATCATATTTTTAGGGCTATTTCACAATGACAGTATACACCGATCAGGCGTAACATTATGACCACCTCCTTGTTTCTGCACTCATTGTCCATTTTATCAGCTCCACTTACTATATAGGTGCACTTTGTAGTTCTACAGTTACAGACTGTAGTCCATCTGTTTCTCTGATACTTTGTTAGCCCCCTTTTACCCTGTTCTTCAGTGGTCAGGACCCCCATGGACCCTCACAGAGCAGGTACTATTTGGGTGGTGGATCATTCTCAGCGCTGCAGTAACACTGACGTGGTGGTGGTGTGTTAGTGTGTGTTGTGCTGGTCTGAGTGGATCAGACACAGCAGTGCTGCTGGAGTTTTTAAACACCTCAGTGTCACTGCTGGACTGAGAATAGTCCACCAACCTGTGACCACTGATGAAGGACTAGAGGATGACCAACAAAAACAGCAGCAGATGAGCTATCGTCTCTGACTTTACATCTACAAGGTGGACTGACAAGGTAGGAGTGTCTAATAGAGTGGACAGTGAGTGGACACAGTGTTTAAAAACTCCACGAGGGTCCTGACCACTGAAGAACAGGGTAAAAGGGGGCTAACAAAGTATGCAGAGAAACAGATGGACTACAGTCTGTAACTGTAGAACTACAAAGTGCACCTATATAGTAAGTGGAGCTGATAAAATGGACAATGAGCGCAGAAACGAGGAGGTGGTCATAATGTTATGCCTGATCGGTGTATCTGGCGCAGTTTCCATTTTTGTGCAATTACACATTTCCACCAGAGAGGTCTCCAAATCTCCAAAACTCACTTAAAAATATTGCAGTTTTAAGAATAATTAAAAAAATGAATAACACTAGTATTCTGTTGTAAATTCAGCAGTGTGACAGTGTGTCACTCACAGGGCAACTCAGTGCTGTGTGTGTAAATAAAGTAAAACTAAGACTGGAGTTCTTTATGACGAATCGTGCCACAGAATGCTCATTAATCCAAAATGGTAAAAAAGAGATGAATTCTATCAATCAATTTCATGTCCATTTCAATAAATTATTATTATTATTATTATTATCATTCCATCCATGTCATTTAATTTTAAGTATCTAAAACTTTCAATCTATACCACATTTGTTTACGTAAATAGACCAAAGACCAAAGAGCTCACAATCAATTTCAAGCCTTTGCAATGGATATTGAAAAATCTGAAGCATTTGTGGTGTTAATATCATTTTAATTGAATGTTCGAACTTATGCTCGCTCCACAATGATTTTTTTGCTATGATTCTCCTGGGAAATCAGTTCCTGCCTGTTAATAAAAAAGAAACTCAATACTTGTAAGGGTTCAGCTCCCAGTAGTCTCAACAGTCAAAATGGAATTTAGACAGACTGAATTTCACACTAATGTCTACAGTGATGAAAAACAAGTACTGGATAGTTTTACATTCTAGTGACAAGTTTTTTGATAAGTTCATCCCATCATAGACTCTCAAAGCTGTAACTGCCAACAACAGCTTTGCAACAGAATACTAAAGTTATGTTTCTGTGGTGTCTGCATACAGTTTTCCTATCAATCATGTCTTTTAAACACATCTTTGTTGATCCTTATATACATACTTTTTTGTTTATATTTATAAGTACAGAGTCAAAAGGCATTATGTGGGTGGATTTGGACCATTTGTCCTCAGTGTCACTGCTAGACTGAGAATAGTCCACCAATCAAAAATATCCGGCCAACAGCGTCCTGTGACCACTGATGAAGGACTAGAGGATGACCAACACAAACTGTGCAGCAGCAGATGAGCTATTGTCTCTGACTTTACATCTACAAGGTGGACTGACAAGGTAGGAGTGGACAGTGAGTGGACACAGTGTTTAAAAACTCCAGCAGCACTGCTGTGTCTGATCCACTTGTACCAGCACAACACACACTGGTCTCTTGAGACAAGCCCCCACCTTAATTTCAAAGGTCACACTCGCCACTCACATCCTGCATTGGTGTGGCCACTTGGCTGCAAAAGTTCCTTAAGTTGTTATTAGGTTAAATTCACCAGTAGCTGAGGTGTTTAAACTCCAGCAGCACTGCTGTGTCTGATCCACTCAGACCAGCACAACACACTAACACACCACCACCACCTCAGTGTTACTGCAGTGCTGAGAATGATCCACCACCCAAATAGTACCTGCTCTGTGAGGGTCCATGGGGGTCCTGACCACTGAAGAACAGGGTAAAAGGGGGCTAACAAAGTATCAGAGAAACAGATGGACTACAGTCTGTAACTGTAGAACTACAAAGTGCACCTATATAGTAAGTGGAGCTGATAAAATGGACAATGAGCGTAGAAACAAGGAGGTGGTCAGAATGTTATGCCTAATTGGTGTATATCAAATAACAAAAACAAAAGTATCTGAATACTTGTTTCATCTCATTATATGTATATGTATATCTTCAAGGCCCAGACTTCAGGACACAGGTTTCAGACTCCAGTCCTCGTGGGCCACAGCACTGCAGATTTCAGCGCACAGCTGATTAAACTCTTCAGCTAATTACATTCATGGCCAGTTCACAACAAACAAGCACTTTTTTAGTCGATGACGGAACAAATACGATTTCACTGTAATCAATGTTCCAATCCACACCAGCTGTGCTAAACGCATGGTTTACCGCAGGCTCCTCCAACGTGCCACATTTTTTTATGTGCAGAACCTATTTTTTATTTCATTTGCCTGCATTAGTAAAGCATGTAGTCTATAGGGATCTAGTCAAATCACACACTCACAGAACCTACAGTGTCTTCACTGCATTTAGAATAATCTGTTTTAAAAAAATAATTAAAAAACAGATCTGCTGTTTGTGCTAAACTATTTCAATTAGAAAAAGGAAAGGAGATAAAAGATCTGATATTCCCATCTGAGGTATTTACACGAAGGTTGAAGGTGAAGGGACGCGTGGCCACTTGCGCTTCACGTATGCTATGCTTAAGCTGACGTGTTGTCTAGAGCGAATCCTGTGTTTTAGAGCGGTAGTTGAGGGAAAGCGTTAATCTTCGCAGAGCTGTGGCCTGGAGGGAACCCATTTTTACTCAGGAACTCTGGTACCTGGTGGCATCTACTGAGTTTAATCCTTAATCCCTGCAGTGTTAGTTGAATTAACCCATTTTTCAGACAGAGACAGCTGAACTCACGGTCATTGTCATGAATGATCTGGAAATTCTTGACGGAGGCTTGGGTGACCCTGCCATGAAAGTTAAGGACGTATGACTGGGTATCGTCGTTCCACACGGGCGTCTTGTTGTGCAGCTCGATCACGCTCTCTGTGCTCTTGTTCTGCCAGCGGGCCAGCAGAGACTCGTGCTCCTGGGGAACAACAGTGGACAGATGTGAGAGGATTAGCTTTCCATTAGAACCCCTAGCTTCAGACACTAATGCTAATACCTCCTATCTGAAATGCTAAAAGGTTAACAGACTGCTCATAGCCTAATCCCCCAGCGGCAGTCTTCAGCTAACAGCAAACAGACACACAATAACAATGCCCGATATTCTCTGTGAACACGTTAATGCTCCACTTTCACCGGATTAGGTACTACAAAAATAGGGATGCACTCACATTTCGTGGTCTAATGCAGACCCTTTCGTGATCCATGTTCATTCCAGGAATGATGACGCTCATCTTACGAGGTCCTTTGAAGCCTAAAACATTGGTCTCCTGAGGACAGATACAAGCCATCTATCAATGCAATCACTGATGGTGTTTCTTTTTTAAAGCTTGCAATACCATCAGCAGCCAGCAGAGGTCTCACTGCTCCACTACACTATCCTTCTACAGAGCACAATACAGTCAAAACAGAGCTGGTCATGCCCACAGGGCTGGGTGCTGCCTCTTTGCCAGCGAGTGATCTCGAGAAATGTTCACTCACGTAGCAGATCGCCGCAAGCTCCTGACGCAGGTTGCTAGCCTCCAGGCTAGAGGTGGTCTTCACTGGGTTCGTCCCGTTGTCATACACTGTAAACTTGGTCCCCATGAGGTTCGATCTGTGGATCAGATATATGTCAGAAACATGGAGCTACAGCTAAACTCTTCAGCTACAGCATTAATGTCCTCCTTCAGTTAAAAATAATGAGTTTTCTAATTACACTTGAAAACAATACGCTCACCCTGGGCTGCGAGTAATTAGTGAGTGTTGTATGTGATGATTAATTGCTTTTCAGTCCCTCGGTTCCATTAACTTTGGGAAGCTAAGAACCAACTGGAGTTGTTCCATTCACTTAGAGACTCTTAGAAACAACTGAAAGCTTTTAATCTCGTAAAAAAAATTAAATAAATAAATAAACATGCATACTTAGTACAATTAAATACTTAAATAAGGCCAAATTTCTTCAATACTATCTAGTATCGAAAAAATCCACATCATTCAATACCAAATTTCGATCTTATTAGCGTCAGTTCACCAATAAGAATGTTATTAACGTCAGTGCTTTTTAATTAATCAGTAATCCATTGCGGTCAGTAAATATACCCACTTCCAGCATCTCACACTCATTTCTTGTCAGCTGATCATGAGTTTGACCAACAACAATGCTGCAGCCAACTGAGGCTGGGAGTCCCAGAGAGTGGGGATGGGCGATACTACTCATTTTCTTCTCAAACTGATAAAGTAATGCTAAGGCTAATATTCCAATACCGATACTCACACTTTCAAAAGAGGGAGCTCCTTTATGGCGCAGTGGTCTAAGCACTGGCCCAGTTATCGGGAGATTTTGAGTTTGATCCCTGATGATGATGCCGCCACCATCTGTGCTGGGAGGCCAAGAAATTATGATTGGCCTTGCTGTCTCTGGGTGGACAGTGTGGTCCTCCCTCTCCCCCCTTTACTCACTGCAATGCTAGCCAACATGGGCATCTGTTAGCTAATGTAACAGAACTGACAGTTAGTGTTCTGTCCAGTGACGTTCTGTTAACCACTTCAATGGCCGGACCCCGAGGTTTTATTACACACTTCTACCTAAGAATAGGTTAGCCAGTTTGCACTGTTGTCCACTGCATAATAATTCAGTGATAAGCCTGGGATTTTAACAGGCTAAAGTCTGAAAAGACGCTGCGGTGAAAGCACATGTTGGCTTTCACCCTCCCAGAGTTGGTCGTATTGCGTGATGGGGAGACCCAGCGGGTCGGAACCGGACATCACAAAACTGAGCAGCAAAAATGGGTAAAGATTCAAACAACAAAAAGCAGTGTTATGAACTATCTGTAGTCTGGAGACCTGACTTGGCTTGGCTCCTTCTACAAACTCATATTTTCAAATCAGGCTTCCTGCAGGTCAAATGTGTTAGCATAACTTCTTCCTCAGCACCGAATCTCCTGCATTCGTGCTCTCCTTCCCATCACTCAGCAATTGAGAAGCAAAGCTACTGATCACAATCACAAAAATAACATCCCTTCACAAAACTGCAGACAGTCTTCACTGAAGTCTAAATCCTGCAAGGTTATCCTGAGGAAAGTGTGAGACCGTGGATTTTGATTAAGTATAGACACATTTATTTATTCACTTATTTGATCTGAGATGGAGGCTGAATGCGATTGAGCAAGTCACTGAGTTATCAAGGCTCTCTGGAAATGGGACTTAAAAAGGGCACAGCAAAGGTCAGTAGCCCCTTTACAGTGATCTGTCTGTATGAGCACTGACATGTTGAAGGGACAAATGCCCATCTTCATCCACAGCCTCAATCAGTGGTCTGCCTCTGAGAGAAGCAAAGGAAGGACACAGAGTGACCAAGAGGTGAAGAGCAAAGGGCTAATGATCAATCTGATGCCTCTGATGGCCTGATAACAGCTAATAAAGGAAAAAGACACAAACACAGATCCTCCCAACAGATGAACTGCACACACACACACACACACACACACACACACACACACACACACACAAACTAGTGATGGGTGTGGTTATTCAAATATCATAGTGTTCGTTTACTTAACCAGGTATTTGAGTGAGTTATACGTTGCGCATAATAGAAAACGTTTCTGATTGAGCATAAAAGCAGAGAGAATGTCAAGCAGCTGATATCACATCTCACATTAAGCAAAACGGCCATGCAGTCATATGCAAAAGTTTGGCCTCCCCTGGTCAAATTACATGTTTGGTTGAAGTGAAAATAAGTTAAAACATCCTACAGAGAACACAGTTCTACACATTTTAATGCACGATTACTGTTCATGTGCTGAATTTAGCGTACTGGAAAAAACAATCACCTGCGAAAAAGATCTGGTGCATTTTGTATTTTATTTTATTAGCAAATATATAAAAATTATGCACTAAAACTTTGCTTTGCTTGCTTTGTGTGTTCTCAGTAGAGGATGTGTTAACTTAGAAAATCAACAAAACATGACTCACAAATGGCACAACTAAGCGCTGGCCCTGTCATCAGGGGATCGCAAGTTCTTTCCCTGGCAATGCCAAAGTAATCCCAGGATGGAGTCCAAGACAGCACAAATTGGGAAGACAAAAAAAAAACAAAAACAAAAACAAAGCATGTAATTTAACCAGGGATGTTTAAACTTTTGCATATGACTGTAACAATTTTTTTTTTCATTTAGACGTGAATATTACTCAAATTCCAATCAGTGGTAAGTGGTAGCAGACTTGCTGTTTCCTGTCAGTTCAAGGTAAATTCTTAGCTTTGCTTTTTAGCTTAAATGATGACAGAACTCTTGTCTTTTTGGTCATAAATTCTTGCATATTCTCTGGGTATTTTGTATCGGTTTGGCCTCCAGAGTTTGCACGTTTTATTAGATGCTCTGGATGAGATCATCTGCAAACAACTGTAAAAATGTGGACATCCGAATAGCAAAAGCGGCGCAAACGCCCAAACACACTGCCGCGCTCGAGACTGCAAGTCTAATTAGAACCAATCAAAAGAGCACCGAAGCCGGTCTGGGTTGAGGTCTGAGTTTACTAACAGAGAGAGCGATAAACTCTAGACGGCTGTTGCTCAGAAGTCTGTTACAGCAACAATAACCAGCTTGTCGGTCACAGGCAGAGATTTGTGATTGAGTCTGTGGGGAATTATACAGCAAACATGCACACCCCCACCCAGCCACACCTGCTGCAGCACTCTGAGATTCTCCCTCAGCACAGCGAGGCTGCTCTCCTGCTTTAATCTGCACTGGCTGCCAAGACACAGGTGCTGCCTCTATATCTGAATGAGGACAGATGAGCGCTCACACATCAGTAATGAAGCCAATTACAGTTTCTAATGAGCTCAGCCAGGTGAGGGAGCAGCACACTCACACACACACACACACACACACACACTCACACACACACACACACGCTAAGTTATGCTAAGCTAGATCTGAAAATCTCACTAGAAACCTGCCTCAGTTTCCCAATGAAGCTCTCGCCACCTCTAGACAGGTCAGTAGGATCGATGGAGATGAGGTAATTAGATGTTTTGCTCTTCTTTCTCTTTCTCCCGGCTAAAAGGAACACCTATGGCACAGGAGAATTTAATTAGCCACCGAGGAACATCAAAACATCAGCACCTAGACGCAGGAGATCAGAGGCCTTACACAAACAATGCTGGGAAAATGCTTTTTAGTCATGATGTTTCATTTTCATCATCACAGGAGATATGAGACTTCTGAAGCAGCTAAGGCTCTGACAAATACGGGCACAGTCAGACTAATGATAACTGAACAATAACAGATGCCAGACATTTACAATATTTAAAAAAAAAAATCATGAAAACAGATGTTTACATTCCTGTTTACATATACACTCGCTGTCTATTTTATTAGGTACAGCTTCCTTGTATTTACACTCATTGTACATTTTATCAGCTCTGCTTATCACATACCGTACTGTGCAGAAGTCAGAGATCACCAGTCATTTATTTAAAGTGGACATATTATGCTCGTTCTCAGTGTTCATGATTTTATTTTGGGGTCTATTAGATTTACAGCTTCAGTGTTCCAAAAACATTATTTTTCTCACACTGTACATCTCTATTCACCCTCTGCTGAAACGCTCTGTTAGAACTCCTGTGTCTTTAAGCCTCTCCTCAATTTAAGACCAGTGTGCTCTGATTGGTCAGCTCAACCACTCTTCTCTGATTGGTCAACTGCCAGAGCGGCATCGAGGTACTGTGGCAATTCTTATAATGGCATCGGTTCTTTGGTATCAGTTTGAAAGTCAAAACAAGTTGGCAGACCTGTTGCACCTTTGTAAGCTAGACTGGACTTTTCAGAGTAAGTTTTTACTTTATAGCTCTCTTGTGTGAGAGCATGCCAAGCTTGCCAAGCTCGCCGGTAGGTCGACAGTAAGGATTGAGATTGTGTTTGTAGTTTGGGCTTTGTGACTTTGCAGACTGTTAATATGCACAGAAAGCTACAGAACACAATAAAATAAAGGGAAAACACCCCTTTAATTTCCTGTTTAAATGGCCATTAAGTACAAGTTACTCATTTTTAGGAGACATTTCTGAGGAGATTAAACACAAAATAATCCTCTTGCCTAAGAAAGGGGAAAATTGAAAAAGGGTACTGAAAAATGTTATATTATATTTAGTTACTGAGGCTTCTATGTAATTTTCTGGTAAATATATGCTTTCTGGTCTTTCCTGACACTGATAAATGAATAACTTCTACTTAATGGCCAATTTGTCAGAAAATTCAATAAATGAAAGGGTGGTCTCTGACTTATCTACAACGCTGTGGGTGCACTTTGTCATTTTTTAATTACAGAGTGCGTCCGTCTGTTTCTCTGCATAATTTATTAGCCCCTCTTTTCCCCATTTACCCACAGGGCCAGTGAGCAGGTACTATTTGGGTGGTGGATCATTTTTAGAACTGCAGTGACACTGACAGTGTGTGTTTGTGCTGCACAGAGTGGATCAGACACAGCAGTGCTGCTGGAGTTTTTAAACACCTCAGTGTCACTGCTGGACTGAGAATAGTCCACCAACCAAAAATATCCAGCCAACAGTGTCCTGTGGGCAGCGTCCTGTGACCACTGATGAAGGACTAGAGGATGACCAACACAAACTGTGCAGCAGCAGATGAGCTGTCATCTCTGACTTTACATCTATAAAGTGGACCAACAACGCAGGAGTGTCTAATAGAGTGGACAGTGAGTGGACACAGTGTTTAAAAACTCCAGCAGCACTGCTGTGTCTGATCCACTCAGACCAGCGCATCACACACTAACACACCACCACCACGTCAGTGTTACTGCAGTGCTGAGAATGATCCACCACCCACATAGTACCTGCTCTGTGAGGGTCCATGGGGGTCCTGACCACTGAAGAACAGGGTAAAAGGGGGCTAACAAAGTATGCAGAGAAACAGATGGACTACAGTCTGTAGGTTTAGAAGTATGCACACCTATATGGTAAGTGGAGCTGATAAAATGGCAGTGAGTGTAGATACAAGGTACAGTCATAAGTGTGAATGGTCAATTTTAACATATTGAAAAGAAAACAAAATATAAAACATACTTTAACTTTTGCACAGGCCAAATTTTTGGTTTTACTTATTTTTATACAACATGTTAATAAATAAATAGCAAATAAACAGTAACTGTGCATTAAGAGGTGCAGAGGTGTGCCTCTGTAGAGGATGTGTACTTATTCTCACTTAGAAACTGAACCAAATATATAATTTCCCCAGAGGCGCCAAAACTTTTGCATACGATTATGTGTACCTAATAAAGTGGCCAGGTAGTGTGAAATAAATGCAATGTTCTTACAAAACCAGTTAAGGTTAAAGGTTGTAATTTCTCTCCACATAAGAATTCACATCCGGTTGCTACCAAAGGCTAAGATACCAAAAATAACCCTTTCTCGTTTTTTCAGCAGGGCTAAATTTGATGTTATTTATCATAATCATCTCTTGACTCTCCAACTGTTCAGCAAAAAATAAAAAAAAAGAGAAAAATGAAGTGTTTCTGATTAGGACCCTAAATTGAGCCTTGATTGTCGGAACATAATAACAGCCCCTTCAACTCTTCAGCCACAAGCAGCCTAATGAATTACGGCCGAGCTGAAGCCAAAGCACTCTGGTCAAATGTAGGATAATAATAAGTGCCTGACTTGACTGACCTTTTTACCGTCTTCCCTTTCGAGATGGAGGTAGTAGGTGGGGTACATGCCCCTGTCCATGCCCTTCTTATCCCGCGTGATCCTGCATTTGATTGTCACACCCTGCGGGGCTGGCCTCAGGGTGAACTCCTCCAGATCACCCACGTCAATGGGCGGCTCATTGGCCACAGGAGTAGAAGCGGAGGCAGCCTCCTGTAACAGGATGGACAGATGAAAGAGCGCTCCAGCATTTTTCAACCCAATCTCGATAATGTCAGTTATCACAATCATTTTAACACATTTCCCTGTACCTAGTAAAACAACTGAAACTCAAAAAACTCAAACACAAAAAATAAAAGCCAGTGCGCTCGGACTGTACATACTTTGAACATGAAGCAACTGTGTTATAAAAATTATTTTTTTAGCACAACGATTTTTTACATTTTATGTGAAAATTATATAAAGTGCTGTTTATTTGGCAATTTGAATATAAGTTACTTGTCTCTGACTTTTTTTTATTATACATTTTGGTATATTGGCGCAGTGGGTAGCGCTGTCGCCTCACAGTGGATGACCGGGGTCATTTCTGTGTGGAGTTTGCCTGTTTTCCCCGTGTCTGCGTGGGTTTCCTCCCACAGTCCAAAAACATGCAGTCAGGCTGATTGGACATGCTGAATTGCCCCTAGGTGTGAGTGTGTGTGTGAATGTGTATGTCTGTCTGTCTGCCCTGCGATGGACTGGTGACCTGTCCAGGGTGTATCCTGCCTTCCGCCCAATGACAGCTGGGATAGGCTCCAGCATTCCACCGCGACCCAGAAGGATAAGCGGTTTAGATGATGGATGGATGGATGGATTTTGGCATATTTCCCTTATATAAGTGCGCACCCACAGCAGCAGTAATTCATGTATGGTTGGAGTCATAAATTTCAAAATGGGAAGCAATTATTAATTATTAAAAGGTACACTATGTAATTTTGGGGGATTTGGAGACCTCTCTGGTGGAAATGTGTTATGGCACGCAACGTGTGAAAGAACATTTTGTAATGTTGGATGTGCTTCGGACGCTTCCCCGAGCGGATGAATCTGATGATTCCGAGCGCAATGAAAGAGTATTCAAGTAGAACTTGATGAACAACATGTCTCCCGAGGATGAAAGTGAATATTAGTATAAATGTTAATTTTGCATTTGAGACCGAAACACTAAGTGGGACCTTCTTTTTGAGCCTGTGCATGTGATGTTATAATATAAACTGTTTTTATGTTGTCCAAAAAACTCCCACAAAATCCAACCTGACATCTGTGACTCTTAAATGATTTGTGCTTGGCAAGATCAAAACATTTGGATTTGTTCTCGTGTGTCTGAATTACCTTGTGGACTACAACTACCATAAATATAAACTTCACCTGTTAGCAACTCATTCGACTAAGCTTGTGGAGATGCTTTGGGAAGAAGGGAAATGTAGTTCAATACTGCTCACAACACGTAGTGAGAATAGCTCAATAATTTACTATAAATAAAAGTTTCATGAGCACTTGGCTTGACAAGGCATTTAATGGAGATAAGTGTGTCACGCACACACACACACACACACACACACACACACACACACACACACACACACACACACACACACAAAGGGCCATCACCCACATGTGAGTGTGTTTTGAGTCTGTTTTTGAATAAAACCTCCTATCATGTGTCAATTGTGTCACATTGTACAGGTCTGCAATGGGCAAATGCAATAGTATCTGCATTGTTCTACAGTCAAATAACTGTCCATGGTAATCGACCACACAACACAGATGCAGCAAACAGAAATTAGGTTGAAAACCACTGGGGTATTCCTTTATAGGTTTCCCCAGTCCACAGCCAGTCAGGATGCAGATTTTACAGGCGAATGCATAGCAGAAATGCTCATTGTCATGTGCCATTTTTAGCCAGCAAGCTGAATCCAGGCCAGCTGAGTTTCAGCACTAGAGGGAGGGACAGCTCCCCGAGGACGGACATGTAAGCAGTTGTGACTAAAAGACAGGCCGGTGACGTCTACTGGCTGGACTCGGGGGACTGGAGCCGCAGTATCACACATACACGTACACACATTAGCCAGTTGTGATCATTAACTCCAGCAAATGCGAAAGCTGCGCTCGATGCAAAGTGCACTTCTGCCAATGACTCATGTGTGGCTAAAGAAAACGCCAAGGAGGACTAACCTTTCATTCTGAGCATGAACAAAACCCCCACGGAACTCAGCTCCAGACATGACCGATGACAAGTCTGGTTCGCCACAGACGTAAGAAAACCCATTCATTCTACAGTATAGCAAAGATACAAACTCGGTAGTTATTTCACTGTTGCCATAGGCGACCACTGACTGAGATATTCTCTTTCAAGCAGTGTTGACTATGTGCCTTGGCTGGACCCACGAACGAAAGCACTGAAACATAACACACTGTCCGAACTGGACCCTTGTCAAAACTGCAGAGAGCATGTTTCGCGTATACAGACACATGCGCTGCAGAAACGGCAGGGGACTGTCATTTAAGCCCCTTAAGGGTAGACAGAAAATGTGTGACTTTCAGCAAAACTAGGCGCAGCTCACAGCGGACATGAAATGAACAATCCGTCATGGCAACGAAACCAAGACAGACTAGAGCCGGACTGATCTCAGTTTAACAATATATCAGGACTGATATTCGGGACTGAGTGATATATGTTGGCAGCTGCTCACAGAAGGGTTTTCCTCTTTTTTACTATTCTCCACACTGTGAAGGCATCAACTCTTTGATTCCTAATTCCATCTGAGTTATTGCATTCATCTATTTTAGATTCTTTAAAAAAAAAAAAGCCCCCTTCCCTTTGATGTAGATTTACACTCTTGGTGTTCGTTCAAAACAGCTTCATGAAGATGCTGAGTTGCTTTTTGAAAAGGACTGAAGAAGAAACACATATATTAAGATCTTGCTGTTGCTGGAAACCACTTGGTGGGGGGGGTTTCAATTAATATATGCTATATTTTTACAGGGCGGCACGGTGGGGCAGTGGGTAGCGCTGTCGCCTCACAGCAAGAATGGCTTGGGTTCGATTCCCAGCCGGTCGGCCAGGGTCATTTCTGTGTGGAGTTTGCCTGTTCTCCCCGTGTCTGCGTGGGTTTCCTCCGGGTACTCCGGTTTCCTCCCACAGTCCAAAAACATGCAGTCAGGCTGACTGGACATGCTGAATTGCCCCTAGGTGTGAGTGTGTGTGACTGTGTATGTCTGTCTGCCCTGCGATGGACTGGCGACCTGTCCAGGGTGTATCCTGCCTTCCGCCCAATGACAGCTGGGATAGGCTCCAGCACCCCACTGCGACCCAGAAGGATAAGCGGTTTAGACAATGTATGTATGTATATTTTTACATGTTTTTTTACTTCAAAAGTTTTATAAATATGTTCATCAGAACAAAACCTTCTGCGTGCAGAGTGGCACATCCAAACCACTGGCATTAGTCTGTTCTTCATGAATGTTCACACAGTGTGAAGACCAGTGGCAAATTTTTAACACTGCAATGTTTGGGTGACTTGCACTGCAATGCACAATAGCACCACCAGTAGTGCAGGTGGGGAGGGGAGGTGTTAGGATAGCATACCTTCGAAAATGTAATGTCATTCAATGTTTAAAAAAACTAATTAGGGTAAATTTGCATTTTGTGGTTGTGTCTGTTATATGTTGGTACTGCACGGTACAAACTAGACTAATGCAAGCTTGTTTTATAGCAGGAGCAGCAGGAATGGAACATTTTCGTTATGCTTTTGTTTTTACTACAGTCGCAAGTGAAAAATATTGCAGATTTCTTCTAGATTGCTTCTCGTTTCTAGTGACTTACAACAAGAGGCAAAAACTTAATTTGAGCAACCATCAAAGCAATGGTACTTTCATCCAAGAGTCATCCAAGGCTGAGAATCAGAGAGAGCTTAACTGGCCCTCAGTATGATGCTAGCGCCTATTAGCTGACATAACCAAACTGGCAGTTAACGTTCTCTTCCAAGCTCACTGATCTGATCAATGACACTGCATTAGCGGCAGTTCAAATCGATGTGGTGCCTTAACCCTCCCAGCTTGGTGGCATCATGTGATAGCAAGGGACCTAGCAAGCAGGTGAGAACTGGACACTCCTGGGCAAATAAACTGGCCAAGCCCAAAATGGGAAAAGATCATGCCTTGAATGGTCTTAACAACAAACTACTAAACAAATAGTTTAAGTAACTTAATAACTGGAGAGCTTTTCCCTTTAATTTCTTTCAATGTAAGAGTCTTTTACAGAAAGAAGAGTCAGTATTTTTCCATTGATGGCTTCAAATGGTTGAGAAACACTGCTGAGCTAGTTTGTGTTTAATATGAGAGCAAATATTCCCTGTCGGGTTTAAATCTAGACTCTGACCAGCCAAATCCTAAGCTTAAAACTCCTCTCAGTGTGCATTTGCCTGCTGCTGTGCTTTGCCAAGCATTACCGGTATAAAGGGCTTCACTGATTAACACAGAAGCACACTGCTCTTGTGTAAATGAACCCATACCTTACTGGACTTCTTGCTGGTGGCAGAGCCTGGTCTGGTGTTGCTGTTGAGTTGAGAGGAACTCGAGCTGACTTCATCTTCATCATCCTCTTCTTCATCAAAATTCATGCTACTGGAGATTCCTAAAGAAAGTACAAGACTGAGAATCAACACAGTGATCGGTGAATACTGAGCTATAAAGAGGAGCGGATCTACAGCTGTGAACAAACCCCTCAGAAAACAAACCCACTGTACAGCCAACCAAGCATATGGCTGGATAATCTGACATTAGAAAGAACAATCTGTTTAGTGAGGTCCATGAGGCTTCATGTCTTAGCTTCATCAAATTAGCTTAGTGTAGATCCAAGGATAAGATGACAGCAGTCATCGGCAAAATAGTGACAACTCTCTGAACAATGGAACAAGACTATCAAGATTACTGAGATGCTTCAGAGAATGAGAAAGAGGGAAAGGGTCAGCAGTTGCATCCGAAAAACTGATTCCATTTCCATTCATCTGATTAGTGGTTAGGTGTTCTATGACTATGGTGTTAATGCTTATTAACAGTGTTAGAAAAGCCAAAATACACCACAATCATAGCCAAAATAAATGGCTGGTTATGTTCAGCTGAATCTCCATCTCTTGATCCAAGGGATCCTTGTCTCTCTCTCTCATCCTTTCCTTCTCTTTATGTTCTAGGGATGGGCGTGGTTATCCGAGTATACAAAAAAAATGCAAATTCATCTCAGTATTTATTTACTTAACCAGGTATTCGGTACATTATTTATAAAATGTATACGCTGGAATAACATCTACCTGGAAAAGCATTACAAAGAAATTTAACATCTATTTCTATAGTTACAAATAGAGTAAAAGGAACGAAGTGCAGACATTTTAGTATTTATAGTTTTCAATATTTTTTTCAAACGTGACATAGAATTGCAAAGAATGCAAGCAGCTGGAACTGCACCTCTGGTTAAGCAAAATGTTAACACAGCAAAAGCTGTATAAAAATATTTCAAACAAAACGACTGGTCGAAGAAAGAAATTTGTATAGTCTTTGTGCAAAGTTATTGTTCTTTATTCCAACTATATCTAGAACACAAAGATAAATCACTAAACCAACCTGAAAATTCAGGTAGAAAAGCTTTGTGCAGTTAATGAATGTTAAAACTTCCATGTTATCATGTTATAATATAATATAATATTGTAAATATTTTCTCGTTGCCATATTCAAATATTATTTGCTTAAAAATGTGGCTAAAGATAGTCCAAATGCCCATCCGTACTGCCAATCACTGCGGCTATGGTACCTTTCTTCAGCATGGTGACCCGGAGGTCCTGCTTGCCCTGGGCCTGCGAGCTGCTGACCGCCTCACCCTGGCCCTGCCCCTGGCCCTCAGCCTCGCCCTCCTGGGCAGGAGAGTGGCCCACCGTTAGGATCTGAATCTGGCTGCCCAGGTCCTGGCTCTCATCCTGGAAGGCAGCTGGGCCATCAATCCCTGCAGCACCACCACAACAACAACAAGCCAACACTGACCACCTGGCCAACAGCCGTTGTTAGGTTTCACTCTCATTTTCTACATACAATACACACATGCTGATGCAAATGCACACATGCTTACGTTGTACTTTAAGCATGCACATTTGATACTGAAATGCTGTTATCAACATGCAAAATACAAATGCATATATATTTATGGCATATGCATGAAGCCAAAAGCCAAAACAAGTGTGATCAGTCACTGCTCTGCACTGCGTTAAATTGCACAAGCCAGCATGATGGTCCACTGAAAGCCCTTTAAATGGCACCTCACAATCTATGACCTTCATGGTCACCTTTCCAACAGCATTCTAGTGCTTTCAAATGCTAATGGATTCACAAGTAATAGCTTATCGTGTTCTTTAGAGAAGCTCTAGTGTCACCCTGGGTTTTGTGTTCCCTCGATTTGTCTGCGGAACATGGGAGGAGCGTGCTGTCCTTAATGTTCTCACTGAGCAGTTACCCAAGCACTTCAGGCCTAGATTACTACTCCCGTCCATGCCGGTTCAATCAAGTTATTATATCTTCAAAGGCCATGCCTAGTGGCACTCTCCAAAAACGAGGCAATGGTGCACGGCTACATCCAGGCAGCTGGAGAACACCCTTATTTGGAACTAGTGATTGCAGAATAATGGGTGCAGCGTTTAGAGCGTAATTGCTGTTTTAGTTAATGCGAGCATCAACATGGTGTTCCAGTGAGAAGCATGACAGGGAGGGTAATCAGGGACTGAAAAACCACATTCAGTTCAAGGAGATAAGGAGAGTGATGGCAGGAGTCTGGAGGCCAGGTTGATTATAGAGAGGGATTAGAGAGAACCGTTGAGAAGGAGAAGGAAGATTTAAATGCACTGGTGAATAAAAAATGTGACAGTGTTAAAGACTGGCCTGCATTATTTTAACCAAAATAGTTTGGTTTCTGTTGTTGCTGGGACAAAACCTTCTAAAATCTCCCTCTCTCTTTACAGAAAAAGGAAAAACATCCCTAACTTTTAATTTAACTGAACATAAATATTTTATTTCAAGTAATTTTGGACCATTTCTACTGGTCCATTCTAGGGATGCACAGAGGTACTTGGTTAACCATTTGAAGTGCCAGCGTTCAAATGCTGAACTAACTATTCTAGTTCTTGTTTTGTTTTATTGTGAAAGCACAGGGAAAATATACAAACAGTTCAGTGAAACACTGAGTTTATGCTTTAACAAGACTGGTGAGTTGGTAAGTTCACTGGTATTTGCAAGTAAGAATGTGTATTACACTTACATTACAAGTTAGCTACTCTAGCTGATGTTAGCTAGGTCTAAAAACAATAAAAGTATATTTCTCTAACAAACTAACACGTTGGCACATTGTCCACCTGTAAGAAGACGATGTATCCATCCTCATCGGCATCTGGTGTTGTGCCAGTTAGCTCTGTTTGTTCAGCTCACCTGAAGAGGCTCTTTTAAAGTTACTTACCCAACACAAAAAACCTACTCATTTCCTTCAGCTATTTCTGAATAGTAAAGCATTTTGCCAAATGTATTCTTCTGCGTGCTGCTAAATGTTTGTGCAACACCAGTGCTGTCACCTTAACAGGTTAGCCTGCACCCCTGCATTTATCCATTTAATAATCCTTACTGATACTCGAATATCAAATTCACTCTCAATGCAAATCCCCAGTCCATTCCAAATATTTTGACATTTACAAGTCTGACATTTGGCAGACGTTCTTATTCAACACGGCTTACAGTTTAATCAGGTTACAAAGGGTGAACTTAAAATCTTGCGCAAGGACTCTGCCCTGTGGAGGACGATGGTGTTATTCACTACACTAATCAACCACTACAGTATACAGGGTGGCTGGTTTTGTCAAACTGTGTAAAACATTTTTTTGTCAAACTGTGTAAAAAAAAAATGACAAAAATGGAGATACAAGTTTTTGTCCCACCAGCAACAGTCATAAAAACAATAATAAGACATTTATTTATTTATTTAGGTCAAGATAGTCAAGATGGTCACTGCCGAATATTATATCTTGGCAAGAGAAAATCAAAATAGCTAATATTTCTCATTGACTTTGTTGTTAGAGCATAAGATTTAGTTTATTTCTAGACGTCTTTTGCTTGTGTAAAGTAGTTTTATTCAGATGGTACTCTTCAGATGCTTTGTAGATACTTAATTTACCTTTAACTTATATTCAACCAAAATTCACCTTCATTTTCTTTAATGCTAAACCTCGCTAATCCTAACCTCAACCTCAACCCTAAACCTGAACCCAACCCTCACCCTGGTCCAAATCCTAACCCTAATCCTGAGTTTCAACAGATAGTTTGTTAACAACTGGAACATCTGTATATAATATATAGGGGACTATAGTGGACTATCCAAATAAAGTGAGAACCGATCATTTTGTTTGTTTCAAGACATGATGTTTGAAACAGTGCCAACATAATGAGATCATTTCATTAGGTAAAATTACTGAAATGAGTAAAAGACATTTAGAAATGAGTTAAATAATCTCACAGTATTCTTACAGAAATCACAACGTGAGAAATATTTGATATACTAACTACATTTAAGAGGTTTTCTTGTGCCAAGATATCATTGTTTTGCAGTGCTTACAGTAAAGAGCATTGTAGCCTTCAACAATGAGTATCGCATAAGTCGATGTCGTAATAGCAGGTGTCATTATGCAGGCCTGACAGACAGACAGACAGAGTGACTGAGATAGAGAGAGAGAGAGAAAGAGAGAGAGAGAGATATTGATTAGGACATGTGGAGAGCAGTAGCGCTGATGACACACAGTTCACGCTGGAGTGTGTGTTCGTCTCCCGGACAAGCTGTTCTTATCAACGTGTGGCAAAAGAACAGATTCACATAATCAGTTATGGGGATAACTGCTATCATTTCATAGCCTCACAACTGTGACACAAGCTGTCATCTGTTTGTTTTGGATAACCGCATCACATAATGTCATTCCAGTGCCTTCTTACCGAAGAGAAATCTCGCTTTCACCAGGAGCATCCAGGAGCTCCAGGAGCCCAGTACGCGCAACGAATATAAAAACCAAATAAATCAAAGTCAGAGAGCAAGAGATCATTCCTCTTATTCATGAGTGTTTACAGCCCGCACTGATGAAGTCTGCATTCAGCCTGAGGAGCAGCTCTGCTCTGTTTTGTTAAGCAGACGCTGTAAACTCCTGTCCGCAGCAGTGTGTGTGTGTGTGTGTGTGTGTGTGTGTGTGTGTGTGTGTGTGTGTATTGGGGGTGTTCTTCTCAGATAGACTTTGGCAGCAGGGGCAGCAGTGTCTTTCTGCTGTAAGGGCATGCTCATTAGCACTGCCACTGACCAGAGAAAAGGCGCGAAAACCTCCAGCAGGCTCCTGTCTCACGGAGAGGGCTTTCGGTGATGGAAGATGAAAGACAAGAACACGGTGTGGATAATGGTGTGAAGACATGCTGAGAGGGGGCTTTCTGTATAGCAGCGAGCGTGAAGGCCAAAGCAGCGATGCGCCTAAACAGAACTGCAACCACTGATGAGCTTTTGACAGCCCATTTCATGTCATTAAAACAGGAAATTAGCACAAAAGATTCTCTTTACAGAACATTCGGTCACCTGCGTAAGTACTGGGACAGCGAAGTCAGAACTGTTGTTTTTGCTGTATATTCGCAAGCATTGAATTTTAAGATCTAAAGAGATGTTTGGTGAGAAAAAATCCCCTTAACCCAAATGTAGTCAAACATACTTGGTGTCCAAAGCTGTTTCTATAAATATCTATAAAAAAGGACAAAAGTATGAAATCTGAATTTTGACCATACTTTTGCTGATGTTTATAGCTAACAGTATGTCACACAGTGTCAGAAAACAAGTCTATCTGGCATCGCTTAACATAATTTGAGGCCAGACACGTGATAGAGGCACCTATTAGCAGGCCTTAACTAGTACCTACATCAGCATCATAACTCCAGTGCTTAACAAAAGAGACAAACTCTGGAGCTCAAACATGTTTAGGCTGATTTGGGGCAAAATTATGTAACTATTCCATATACAGCCGTATATTAAAGTTCGAATGCTCTCAGTCAAATTACATGTATTGTTGATTTTCTAAGAGACTATTTGTGTTGTTTATTGTCGTTGTTTCGTTAGTTTAAGTCATGTCATGTTGTTAGTGTTATTATGTCTCAGGGTTTGGGGTTGGTTGAGTGGGTTGAGTGTCCACTATGGATGGGAGCAGTGTGGTTAGAAGCGACCTCCCCTCTATTACAGTGCTCTGTATGTGCTTTTCTGCCTGTGTGTTCAATAAAGAGCACTTCTCACAGCAGAAGCTTGGCTTCCCCTGTGTTTCTCCTGCTGCCAGCACAACAATATGTCCATAAAACATGACACTCGGTACCATCTTGGACCTGGAATTCTTTGTTTTGGTGCTAATCAGAGGTCTGCAGCTTGTAATGTAGTCTTCATAATTCTGAGATAAGTTAGACAGACAAGCAGGTGATTTCAAGGGTCTCTGCTGATTTTCTGTTAATCAGCCACAGTTAACATGGCCGTAGCAATTTTAAATGTACACCGGTGCTTTCTTCCTCCCTTCCTACAAATGGCTGCGTTTCAGATTTCCATGTAAAGACAGGAGCAACAGCTAAATCAAAGACAAATCATACCTTTGCTATATTTTCTCAATTGAGGAAAATAGACAAATTTAAAACACCAGTTCAGGCAACAGTCCCAGTACATAAGCTTACCTGCTGTACTTCTGTTAATAAGACCAATAAATTATATACTTAAAAAAGAGGTAAAAGAAATAAGGCAATGTATATCTAATAAACATACATACATACATACATACATACATACATACATACCATAAAAAAACAAAGATTGGTGCAAAATCATAAACGTACTGTTGAAAAGTATGGGGGAAAAAATAATTGATACATACAATAATATGCAAAAGTTTGGCTACCCCTGGTCGAACTGAGTTTTTTTTTATTTACCAAGTGAAAATAAGTACAAAACCTCTACTGGGACCAAATTTCTGCACATTTTAATTTATGCTTTATTGATTCCAGTATGTTAAACAGAACGAAACAGAACTGTGAACTAAATTGAGAAAAACGCCAAATAGAAAGGAATATAAAAATGTTCTGCATAATTAAATTGTTAATATGTAAACAAAGTCATTCAGAGTGGTCTGACAAGAAATGCTCCATTCTAGAGAAACTTACCGGACCGGAATTGTTCACAGTGGTGGTGATAGGAACCAGACGTCCACCTCTAAAAGCTCCCTCACAGAAAGTTCCTACATGAAATGGTTATGAATTCACTGCCTGATGACTGAGACACTGTTTTATGATAGTTCCGAGATAAGATGCATAAAATGCGTTTTTTAAATATTTTACCAACATATAAAAAACACCAGTAGGTTAGCTGGTCATTATGGATAGCAAATAAATGGATACATTTGTGCTTTAGACACTGTAACCCCTGGTTCCTTTCACCACCACTGTAAAGAAATCTGCATTGGTAGTTTCTCTGCAATGAACCATTTTACATCAAAGCACTCTGAATGACTGCTTGCATTTCAATGATTGAATTATGCTGAAAAAATTTGAAGTAGGTGGAATTCCAACCTTTAGGTTTGTCATCTGTACGGGAAGTGTACGTCTCTTTCACTTAGAAAATCAAGAATAAAATCATAGCAGACACGTCTAAAAGCATCCTCTGGTTCTTCTTCCTCTACAGTAAAATTTACCCTGACCAAGAAACAGAACTGATCAGACAAACCTCACTATGACTATGTACTAACATAGTCGTTACACACACAGACACACACACACACACACACACACACACACACACACACACACACAGAGTCATGCACATGCTGGGTTTGTCTGTGGCCAGGTTCTGGAGGAACAGGCATGGTCGAGCAGCTGACCTTTGTGCTTGCCCTTTTTCTCCTTCTTGGCGCTGCCCGTCTGCGGGGTAGATGTGGGAGGCTTGGTTTTTTTAGCCGAGCGAGGAGCCTGAACCTCAGCTACAGCCTTGACCTCCTCCTGCTCGGCTTCTTGTACTACACGAGGAGGCACGGGAGGACGTGCAGGAGGAGCCGGTGGAGGAAAGATGCAAAGGGGAGATTGTGACAGAGCATGAAATGGAGAAAGAGAGGAAAGGGAAAAGGCAGAATGCAGTCAGTGTTAAAATGAACTGAAGAGTTAGCAAAGACAAAGTCTTACAAGGCAGATACAGGTTAATTGAGGGATGGGGGAAGACTATCAAACAGCCAGACAGCCATTAGCACTGGCTGACTGACCATATACACTGTACACCAATCGCCCACTGCATTAAGAACACCTCCATGTATCCACACTCACTGTCCAATTTATCAGCTCTCAGTTCTGCAGTTACAGACTGCAGTCCATCTGCTTCTCTGCAGCCCCATTTCACCCTGGTCTTCAATGATCAGGACCACCACAGAGCAGGTATCATTTGGGTGGTGGATCATTCTCAGCACTGCAGTGACACTGATGTGGTGGTGTGTTAGCATGTGTTGCACTGGTACGAGTGGATCAGACAAAGCAGTGCTGCTGGAGTTTTTAAACACCTCTGAGAATAGTCCACTAACCAAAAACATCCAGCTAGTATGAGCACTGATGAAGGATGACCAACACAAACTGTGCAGCAACAGATTAGCCATCACCTCTGACTTGACATCTACAAGATGGACCAAGAAGGTAGTGTCTAATTGAGTGGACAGTGAGTGGACACAGTGTTTTAAAAATTCAGGTGGCACTGCTGTCCACCAAAGTGCATCTATATGGTAAGTGGAGCTGATAAAATGGACAAAGAGTGTAGACACAAAAACGTATATGTACTCAATGAAGTGGCCTGTCAGTGTATTTAATTATCAACACTCTTGATTACTTCAAACTATTAAAGGAATCCTCCAGCGTTTATCATAATCTGGCATATTTGAGGCAACATGATTATGACAGAGAGTCAGGTTAACATTACAGTAAGCCATGTTAAATCTTCCCTGACCTACAGAAAAGAGCAGAAAACATGTTGACACACAACACATGTAATAGAAGCCAATGGGCAGCTGCTTTAGCACTGAGTGTTTCTTTAAAACCCATTAAACTGTAAGGGCCTAGGGGACCCCTTCCCCTAGCTGATGACACAATCCGACTGTGAGCACATTAAAAGGGTTTATAAGGAGAAGGACGTGTGTTTCGAATATGTGAGTTATCTACTATTGTCATCATATCTTCATCAGTACAATGTTGATTTTGCATTTGAGACTTAAACATCTTCTGTGTGTGAGACAGTAATGCATAAAGACACGTTGGGATCCAATAAATAAATAAATAAACAAACACCTCAGACTTTTAAAGTATTATTTCAGACGTTACGTGGTGACTTGTAGCAGCGCAAACATGCATATTTTAGAATGTTTTTTTTCTCTTGGCATAAATGCGCTTCAATTTTAATCAGTGTTATAGTACACAGGCAAACCACAAACTGTCACTTTCTATATTTAAAATAATAAATTCCTGAAATGTGATGATCTTGTTGGTGTAGTAGTTGCAGAGCAGCTCCTGCTCTGTACTAACTATGTGTGGAGGTGACTCTTCTCTGATTTACAGTAGTGAAAACCTGCAATTTTGTTGTTATACACAGATCTGCTGTTTGGGCTATAAAGTAAGTACTAAACCTGCTATAGAACAGTTTAATTCAAGATATGGAGAAGAAAAAAAAATCTTTTCTAAACTAACATTCTCTCCTGAAATGTTTATGTGATGGAGATATGGATTGGATGCATGGTGGTGCTCGGATAAGGACTTACATATTTAACAAATTTGTTGTGCCTCTTTGGTGCATCAACCTGTTACTGCAAGTTTTGCACTGAGCATTTTTCTTATCGTGCGGTAGTTTAAAATGCTCCCACACAGGTGATTTCTTTCCGAGGTATCTTAGCTCTTTTAGCTTCAATGGTCATGTAGAAAGCAGTGGAGACCTCTGTGCTCTGACATGAGGTTACATGGATGCCAGCTACAATAAAACCAGCTATAATTGATTTATTTATTTTAGCATTTTCCATATACTAGTGATATCTTTTCTATCTAAAAGGCCTTTGCTGATGAAATGCTACAAATAAAAAGACGTTGAGCTTCTTGAGCTTCTAAATACTTAAAAGAGACCCAATTACCAATGTAATGAATGAGTATTTGAGTATTCAAATGATTTGAGTTACTTACAGCAGTTACTGAATAATGAGTTTTACAGTTCATGTGAATAAGCCTGCAGTTTCAGGAGTCATAAAACATCTAAATGTTGTGTTCAGAGGATTGAATGGTTCCACAGTTAATAATAAAACAGATACAAGGTCATAATTCACACTCCATTGTAGGGGTGGGCAATATGACAAATGTTAACACTATTGTGATTAATTATATCAAAATATGCTTTCCTGTGCATATTGTAAACATCGTTACATGACCAAATCGATCATAAAAATCATTGTAAGTTTATTAGTATTTTTTTAATGTACAGGCTCTACAGGTCCTTTTTTGTCTGTTCCAACATAAACATTAAACTAAATATTAGGGGTGTATCGGTATGTGTATTCGTCCCGAGCTGTCAGGGTACGAATGTCACGATTCGGACATGCAGTCATATGGAGAACACACACTATGTGCAAACACTGATGAACATAATCCAGAACCACACCCTTTCTCTGCAGGTAACATTAGCTCTAAAATGATTCAGCCCTATCGAGGGTTCATAACTGCACCAGCGTCCTAATCCTGACCCACAATCAGCTGTGACGCTGAGGCTGTCAAAAGATTCAGCGAAAAGCCGTATAAATTTTCCTGCGTTTTCTCTGCTCCTGATTACAAAATCACCACACAAATGACTTTAAAGTGCAAAGGACACACACTGTAGACGGCAGCAACTACCTCAGGGAGGACTATACAACACTAGGCGGAACAAACTGTAACTTGCACTAAAGTCTGTTTAAAATAAATAAAAGAAATCTAGACTCATGCATTTGGGTGTTTTTGTTGCTTTTATCTGCTGTACCAAACTAAACCATGATGTCCAGACCGCGGTGTGAACCGAACGGTGACTTCTGTGTACCGTTACACCCATATTAAATATCATGATGCATGTTTTCTTGAAAATGTCTTGAAGTTTCAGGATATAATATCTTTGCCATATCACCCACCCCCACGTCCTTTGTGCGCTAAAACTCACACTCGGATACAGTATCAACCAGCAAAGAATTCTCAGGCATTTGTCCTTGAAGTAAGGTCTAATAGGAAACTCACTTTAGCGCTGCGGTGTAGCTCCGTGCGCCGTCTCTTACGTAAGGCTGTGGTCTACTGTGCTGCCTTTAAGACCAGATCTGACACACAATTCTCAGTTTTTGTTTTCCAATAAAACTCAACACAGTTCAACAGAACTTCAGCGCATCTGCTCTAGTCGGAGCCCACACACACTCTCAGCGCCTAAGTTGTGTAACCAACTTCAAACTGTCAGTCAAACAGCACAAAGGGATCAATGGATTAGTCATGGAGCAAAAAGCAAAGAGAGATAAGGGCTTGAATTTTGGAACAATGTAAGCGAGTGAAAGAAAGTTCTACAAATACTCATGTTTTGGAGAAGAAAAAATGTTTAAATTTAAACAGCTTGCATAATTCAGCAGATGGAAATGATATGTGCTGTGTAACTGTGAATAGCTCTACAACAATGCCTCGCTCTCACTCGGGTTCAGCCTGGCTGATCCTGCTCTATGAAACTTCAAATACTGAGGATAATGTGGGGGTTCATAGTGTTCATTGTTCACCACACGCTGCAACATTGCTTCAGGATATATCGCTCAAAGACAAAGACCTGTCAGGATAACTATGATGGACAAGCAATAGCTGGCTTGACTTGACTAGCTGGAGGGGAAGTGTCTCAGATACATAACACCATCAAATGTTCAGACGTAATGGTCAGCGTTGGGGGTGGCACAAGGTAACAGGTTATACAGTAATGTGATCACTTTTTGCTGTAGTAAGGTAGTGTAATGCATTACAGCGTAAAGTCTTGTTTTCTTGTCATTATAAAATGTTATAATATAAATGCCAAAGATGTCCAACTAGAATTAAGTGTGTAATATACACCGATCAGGCATAACATTCTGACCACCTCCTTGTACGCTCATTGTCCATTTTATCAGCTCCACTTACTATATAGGTGCACTAGTGTGTGTTGCGCTGGTCTGAGTGGATCAGACACAGCAGTGCTGCTGGAGTTTTTAAACACCTCAGTGTCACTGCTGGACTGAGAATAGTCCACCAAACCAAAAATATCCAGCCAACAGTGTCCTGTGGGCAGCGTCCTGTGACCACTGATGAAGGACTAGAGAATGACCAACACAAACTGTGCAGCAGCAGATGAGCTACCGTCTCTGACTTTACATCTACAAGGTGGACTGACAAGGTAGGAGTGTCTAATAGAGTGGACAGTGAGTGGACACAGTGTCTGATCCACTCGTACCAGCACAACACACACACTAACACACCACCACCACCACATCAGTGTTACTGCAGTGCTGAGAATGATCCACCACCCAAATAGTACCTGCTCTGTGAGGGTCCATGGGGGTCCTGACCACTGAAGAACAGGGTAAAAGGGGGCTAACAAAGTATCAGAGAAACAGATGGACTACAGTCTGTAACTGTAGAACTACAAAGTGCACCTATATAGTAAGTGGAGCTGATAAAATGGACAATGAGCGTAGAAACAAGGAGGCGGTCATAATGTTACGCCTGATTGGTGTATGCATGTGACAGTGTCATTGTGCACCCAAGTAGTTTGTATGGTCTGTGTCTTTATTCATTCATAAAAGGCAAAAAAAAAATGCAGCAAAACCTTCAATTCCTGACCGTTATTAAACAAAATACTAGTTTAATGTTTTGTGCTGCGTGCACATTCTTTCTGGTAGTCTACCAGGCTTGAAATGGGTGAAGAATATATCATTCTCTTTTACAAATGATCATTTTTAGTGACAGGCCGTTTTAA